AAACTGATCTTATCCAAAAGTCTGAGGCCAGACTCTTACATTATCACTTGCAGCACACAAACAAGGCCCTGGGTCTCTCCAGTCCCAGGGTGACCATCAGCCAGTTTGGGGATCAGAAGGTGACAGCCATGGCAGCCTGCTGCCTGCACGGCCAGCACCTGCAAGGAGCGTTGGTGGAGCATCTTGCCCACCTAGCTGAGCTCTGCTCCTGCCCGTTGCCCATAGCACACCCCACAGAGGACTACAGTTTGAAAGACAACCCTAGCAGTTCTTAAGCCTTTTGTGAGGCTTCAGCATGGTTGAGGAGATGATCCCCTGCCTGTCAGAGTAGAGATGGGAGCTGATGGGCAACACAGTTCTAGCTGGGGTTTATCCCCACATCAGAAACTGAAGATTTGTTGCAGAATAAGGAAGAAATTGGTGTCTTTTCCCCATAGCATCGTTTCAGCAAGCATCCCAAGAAAGAAATTTGAACTAGCCATAGGATCATAGAACAGTTTGGGTTGGAAGGTATCTTAAAGATCATATAGTTCCACCCTGCTGCCAGGGGCAGGTGTTGCTCACCAGCCTGGGCTGCAGCTCCAAGGATGCCATCGCATCTTCCACAACCAGGAGGAAATGGCCCGCCTTTTGTAGGCAGGGTCTCAACCTTAGTTAATTAGTTAATTACATTCAGTTTCAGTTCAAGCCAGCTAGGTAATAATAATTGGATGCCACAACTCCCCCTTTTTGTTTTACCAGTTTTTGTTTTTAGAGGAAAGTAAAGGCTTTACGGTGAGCAGACACCCAGTCCATTCGTTCCAACTCCAGCACGCTTCCCTCCCGTGAATATCACATCAGGGCTTGCAGCTTTACTTTCTTTACCAAAGGATTCTTGCTCCAGCCCTGGCTCCGGCAAGGGAGTCACAGTCCTCAGGGTCTCTCAGACATATCACATCGGGGTCACCAGATGTTGCTCACCAGCCTAGGCTACAGCTCCAAGGATGCCATTGCACCTTCAAGAGCCAGGAGGAAATGGCCCGCCTTTTGTAGGCAGGGTCTCAACCTTAGTTAATTAGTTAATTACATTCAGTTTCAGTTCAAGCCAGCTGGGTAATAATAATTGGATGCCACAGGCAGGGACACCTTCTGCTAGATGACGTTGCTCAAAGCCTCATCCAGCCTGCCCTTAAACACTTCCAAGGATGTGGAAACCATAGCCATGGTTTCCTACTTGACCTTTTACAGGCTCAGAGTTTTATTTTAGAAATTAAATTATCTAGCTGGCTCCAGCACTACCTGTGCCAGAAGCAAAAGCCTCCCTCTGGCCTGGCCAACACCCAGCTGAGATACAAGCAGGTCTTGTTCACTTTACTAGAAAGGCCAAGTTTGGGCAGCAAGTGCTGCCAATGCCACGCAGATTAAGACTGGCGTAGAAGATGTGTATCTTCTGTGCAACCAACTGCTGCTCTTTTGGGTGCCTACTCAGCTTGCACAATTGGTGAGCACTGCAGAACCACCGCACAACTATAGACCTGCTTTGATCACGAGCTGCACTTTCCTCCCACTCCTTCAGCACTGGCTCCACAACTCATCACCAAGCAAAACTGATCCCTGCTAGCACCCAGGCGGCATAAACTGGATCTCTCCAATGAGGGAGGACAAGGCAGCATCCTTACAGAGCATGGCTCAGCAAGTCAGTCCTCTCGTTTCATCCTCCTCAAGAAGAACAGGGAAAACCACTTCATCTTGTGTGCTTCACTGTTAGATGTGTCTATGAAAGAAGAACCAAGAAAGGCTGCAGCAAGTAGCAGAAGAGCTGAGCACTTCCTGTTATTTCTTAGGTCTCGCTGTCTGCTCGTTTTCCAGAACTGAAACATCCTCTACAGCATGAAAACCTGAGATTTCAATGCTCCATGACACATGTTTAGAAAAATTGCTGACTTTTTTAGTAGGCACCAAGTAGAACTTAGCACCCTACAAGTATTGCACAATTGTTGTATTGTTGCAGTGCATCAGGAACAAACATGAGACATCACAAAAACAATGGTGACAATTCAAAAAAAAGGCATCAACCAAAAATAAGTATTGCCCTTATGAGACTCCCATTGTGCAGGGGAACTCTGTGCTCATAGTATCTTCTTGTCTGCCTGACAGAGGACTGCGTTTTGGTGCAAATATACCCAACAGGACTAAATTCAGCTCTTTTTACTTAGCTTTGAGCCTTTTAGCACGTAAGAGAGAAACGTTTAGCTGAAGAGAGTCCAGTAACACAGAGGAGACCTCGGTGAGTAGACTGAGACTGAGAGTGTTTCTCTCAGCCCATGGTTACAGCATCCAGGTGCACGGCAGTATGAAAGCACACACCTCCACACTTCGCTCATGCCCACTGCCGTGGCCTCTGGCCTGCACCGTACTCAGGGTGCCTGCTGGCAGCCCTGCTACCCAGGAAGGGGATCCAAGGGCAGCTTTCAGACGTGCTCAGCCCTCAGATGCCCTCAGCTGAAGCAACAGAGGTTTCCATGGTTCACAGGGTGGTCTCAAGCCCAGTCTTTGGACCCAGTTTGTGGCCAACAGTAGAAAAGCTTCTTGCCTCCCGTTCCTATTCTGGGCATGACTTCACTTCGTGCTCCAGTTCCTTGCCAGAAGAGCAAGCACACTTCTGTGCTGAGCCAAAGTCACCCTGGCACCACCTTGCACGTGCTCCAGTGCTCCCCTGCAAGGAGCTGTGGCAAGCATCACCCCACCAGCACCAACCCCAGGCAGAAGGCTCAGAGCAGCAGCTGGTGGGAAGGCCAGGAGGGTCTCTCAGAGTCATGACAGAAGCTCACCAAGCCTCAGCCATGGGGAAGGAGCATCTCCAAAGCGCTCTGCAGCTCTTTGAAGCCCAGGGCACAGAGAGCTCTAATCAGTGGCAAGAGGGTCCCAGGAGGAGCTCACTCTCTGCCTCAGGTCCCAGTAACCCTCCCTCTGTCCTAGGAAGGACCAGTGCTCCTATAATCACACAGGAGTTCCAGTTCAGCTGCTTGCTCTGGAGAGGGCACGGATAAAGCTCCGGCCATGCAGGACAGGCAGCAGGCGGGTGGGCACAGTGGCTGTGCTTGCCCACACCAACCCGAGCCCACCAGCTGCCAGCACTCAGGTGGCAGCCAGTACCTGGCGGGGATTTGTGTGAAACCTCCCGCGTCCGTGTTTCCGTGGCTCAGGGACCAAAACGTTTTTCTTATCTCCTTTGTACCAAAGCGAGATCCAGATACTGAAGCACCAGCACAGGTGTGAACTAAGATCCTGTCCACCCACTCTTATCTTTATTCATTCACTACAAGGACATAGCATACATTACAAAATAAACCATTAAGTGTTTACCAAATACGACTTTAAATAGTGAAAGCCCTAAAACAAGCTGCAGGAAGCTAAGGCAAGAGCAAGTGACACTCCCAGGGTTGTGTGCCATTGGAGTTCAAGCAAAGTGACTGAGCTCCAGAGGAGGCAAAGACCTCCTTCTCCCTGACAAGTTACTTCCCTGTCCTTGCACCAGAAGATAAAACCAGTCACATTTCTGAGGAGAAACAAAGGATGGCTAATTTACCGTCCCTGGCACGTGTAGGATAGTCAAGCCTGAAAGAGGTACTACATGTTCTTCTGCCTAACGCAGCAACATGCTAGCTGGATGCCTCGTGCTCTGTGGCTGCCTCTTACACCAGAAGGGCCAGTGTTCCCATTCAGACATTGCTCTAAAAAGGCCTGTCCTCACTTGGCTCCTCAGCTGTCCCGTAGAGGCAGTTATGAACATCTCCAAGGACCAGAGGAGCAAGCAGTGTTTGCCCAGCACATGGCGAGTGATGCAGGTGCTGTTATTGTAGTCCAGCCCCTCCCTTTGGGAGGGAGATCTTTCAGCAGTTCTGAATCATCACCTGGTTATGCACGAGGTGCCTACCAGCAAAATCAAGGGACACAGTCCCTCGCCATCCGCAGGAGGCCCTATGATGAAAAGCCATGACAATTCAGACAATGCCACTAGTAATCAGACTGCTTGGTAGTTTGTAACACTTGTTTCATGAGCCAATGGATACCAGACCTCTTCTATAACAAAAAAATTGTCTGGATGACCAAACAGACCTAGGCTGAGAATAAAGTTTCATTTTATTTGCCACCAAGGAGTCACAGAAAACTGAAATGAACCAGTCCTTGGAGTGGCTGTGTAGCACATCTCCCTGGCCCTCAGCAGGATGAGGATGCCTCACAGATGGTTGCCTCATCCGCCTTTTGAAACTCCCAGTGCTTGAAATCCTCTCCCAAAAATCTATTTCAGTGCTTCATTTGCAAAAAATAAATATCCTGACCTAACTCCCTTGCTGCGATTTAAGCCTGTGGTGTCTTGCTCTAAACACAGGAGAGAAAGTGGAAAGTTTGCTCCTTTCCCACTTGTGTTTTTCCTCCCCAGATTCTTCTAGGCTCTCACATCTCCTTTCAGTAGTTTCTTCTCGCATTAGATGACACCAATTCTTTCAACTTCAGGCAAGCACTTAATTACATACAAGTGTTTTTTGATCCAGGAGGTCATACATTTGGTGCTGAAGCCAGAGGGCTGTCCTAATGTGTGGCAGGAGAAAGGAAAGATGTGTGACCAACCCCTGTAAGATCCTTAAGCCCATGTTGTCTCACCAGAGCTTTAGCTTCTTCTTGATATAATCCATCCAAAAAGCAGGAAGATAATAAGGTGCGGTAAAAACAAGTGAACCAGAGAAAGACACAGGTTTCAAGGCTCAGTGCTCCATACCCTGACATGGAGCCACTTGAAGAAAAATGCTCGCAGGGATGAATGCCCGTCACCTTGAATCTCCTCCACCGAGTCTCTTCATCTCCATTTGATGGTCTCTCTAATTTTCTGCAATGAAAGCTGCCATTTCGTAGCTGAGCATTACGCAAGCCTGGGCGGGAGGGGTTCCTGACTATTGCAAAGGTTCTTTTCCCAGTGGACGGTGGAGCGAAGAGACCACTGCCCTTTCCCGGGCAGAAGTTCAAGGTCTTTGTCTCGGGTGGTTTGGAATCCGTTGCTGAGTGCGGGGCCTGGGCCGCGGGGGCAATGCTTGCTGCTGCATCTGGGGCTGCGGCAGTGGCCGCCGGCGCGTCTCGTTGTGTGCCCGCCGCCCGGGGGGCCGGCCGCGGGGTGGGATGGCACGGTGGCTGCGGGAGCTCCCGCACCACCATTTCGCTGCCCACCTGGCAAGCCTGCATTGTCTGCTCCTCGTCTGCAATGACAGAAGGACCCAGCAGTCAAGCACGTACTCAAGTCTAAGTGGAAGCTGAACAGCTGGGGAAAAGTCCTCATCCCAAGCAAGAAAAACCCAAACATTCGTCTTACCCGGGAGACCACTTGCACTCTCGAGTGTTCCTGCCACTCCAGCAGAACAATCAAAATCACCTCCGACTGCACACCCCAGGCAAACTTGAAAGCTTTTTGGCTGCCTGGCTGAGGTCAAGGTACTTGGGGATGTTTGGGGCAGCTTTGCCATCTCTGTGTTGGGGGAACCAACTTTGCTGGGGAGGCAAAAGCCCCGATGGACATTCCCCACCTGAGCTGCTCTGTCGTCTTTTGGAAACAGGCCACTGAAGGCAAAGTGAGATGTAACCCCAGGCAGCAACATCGAAGCACTCTGCCCTGCCACTATCCATGCTGGGATTTCCAGGCACCTGGAAGCCAGAGGTCCATTTTGCCAGCATTAATTTAATTTCCCCACACGTAGTAGTAAATTCATGCCAGTTGACTTTTGATCACTAACTCATCATTTCTGAAATGTCAGTCAGCTTAGTTTATGGATTGAAGGATTTACCTCTTGGGACACTAAAATGACCTCAAGCATGTACCAAGCTGTTTCAAAGAGGCTAGTCACCCTCTTCTATTAGTGTGAGGGCAGGACTCGGAAACAAGCCTTTGACACTGAGGTGCTGCCCTGGCTGCAGGGCGACTTCCCTCTGCTTTTGCCTCCCCTTCCAGGTGGGCCAGACAACCCTTCTTGAGTGGCAGCTCAGTATCCTCTGTCCACCCAAACTAGCAGCAATGCCTGGGTTGTAATTCAAGGCAACCTCTCCGTCAAGACCGAGAGCCCACTCTCAGCGAAGACTCTGGCAGAGTATTTCCTATTGTCTTAAAGAGGCATGAATTCTGGACAACAGATGAAATCTCTGCCCACTCTGAAAATATCATTTCTTTAAAATGCCCCAACCTGGACCTCTAGTTTTGACAGGCCTGCAAGAACATTGTGTTGTAGAGAGGACAAGTTCTGTGAGATGCCTGAGGAAACTCACAGGAAAGGAGAGTCCTTCTTGCCCCTTCTCACTATCTACAATGTTTCCAAATGGGACTAATGATTTCAAGGATCCTAATTTTATACCACATAGATTTAATTAAAAAAAAAAAACTGCTGATGAGCTACCTAATTGTATGTTCTACCCGCACAGATGTTCGTGACTAGTGGCCTTGGGTGAGCTTTACAGGAGCAATTCTTCCCCCATGAATAAACAAAAGGGCTTGAGAACAAGAAGTCTTTTGTTCAAAGCATGTATCAGAAACTGAGATTAGCAATCAAAGCTGATCTGCTGAGATTCACCATATGCCAAAACCAGGTTCTTGCTCATGCCCAGGCAGAGAGCATGCTCCTGCCCACAGGGGTGCTGTCAGCGGGAAACTCTTAAGATTTTAGGTGGCTGGATAGCAACATAAAGCCCCTTAAACACTTACCGTCATCTTCAAGCCTTTCTGCTTTCTTCTTCCTGATACAATAAATAAGCAAAATCACAAAGATGACAAAGAAGATTGCGCCTCCTGCTATGCTTAAGATGAGGTAAAGGTCCAGCTGGCCTAGTTAAGGGAATGAAAGAGGATATTAGAGGGAAAGAAATAACTTGCGCAACCTCTACCTAGAATTCTGTATTTTCTTCCATGGACCGTAAAGGCAGCCCCAGTGAGAAAGCCCACCCTTTGCCTTTTCTCTGTACACAGCAGAAAGTTGCTGGTCCTCATTGTGGAGAATTTTGATTGCTCCCTGGTGGATTCAAGCTCTGCAGAAAATTGAAACCAGAGCATTCATGTGTGCCAGCTCATCTTATTTAAATTACCACAAATACCCTGTTCCTGCTAGCAATGGACCCTTTTAAGGACAACGAGCATCCAGGCAGTGCTCAGCATCTAACACAAATAAACAAATTAAGTACTTCCTACTGAGCTGGAAACATTGGGACTGGCTTGCTGCATAGTATTTTAGTACTTCCTCTTCAATTTTGGGTTGTATGCAAATTAAAAAAAATAGTGAAAAGGAAAAGAACGTAACCAAATATCTTACAGCCTCAAAACGAAAGTTTGGTTTGCCAGGTGAGCAAAAACATGTATGAGTGTTCCTTGTTTTGGCCAGATAAGGTTTACTGGAAACTAGCCTTCCTTTACCACCTCCTGCTTGGGCTGGCCTCCTGGCATTCACTCTTGAGCACAAGCACCGTGGAGCTAAACCCAGTAGAAGTCCACCTTCCTGTGCTTCTCAGGGGACAAAGTTCCAAAGCGGACGACACCACTGGTACCACCCTTAACGTTCACTGGGCATGCACATGGAGGGCAAAGAGGATGACACCAAAACCGAGGTGTCTACAGTATCAACACCACCATCAGCCTGGGCTGCCCCAGCGGAAAAGAGACAAGTATCCTCAGTGATGTGGTTCTTCTCACCTGTTTTATCTGTCAGTGTTCCACCGAGGTGTATTTTGCCCTTTCCATGCCTGTTTCTCCCAGCTGAATATAAGCCCAGTCAGATTCACGCACAGTTATGCTTATATGGAAAGTTAGCTGAGCTGAAGCCCATCTGAAGCATGCCTTGCCTACTAAAGGTCAAAATTCAAGGTGACAGGCCTTGAATGTAGGACCAGATGGAGGGCAGCAGGGTCAGAAGGAGGTTTGACTGCAAGTTGAGGGATATTTAATCTACTATGGAGCTGACAGAGTCCTGCCACCACACAGAAAGGTTTGAGGGAGTTTTTAGTTTGAGTAGGAAGGGTAGTGATAGTGGTGATTTGGTGTCTGACAAATGCTGTATTTGTACCTTTAAAGATCAGCATGGCAAGCCTTTTATTTCTCTGTTAACAACTGGAGAAAATACAAACTCTCCCACTCAACTCACCCTGTGAAAGAAAATAATTTCTCGAGGGTAAGAAGAAGTGAAATTAGAGTATCTAGCTGATGGCTAATGTCTGCCTATACCAGCAATGTAGGCAGGCCCATGCTTGCCTGGCTTGTGCCCTGAGGATGGCCAGCTTCAGCCAGCATTTCCTCATTAAGACAACGTCTTTGGGCTCATTTGGGCTATTTTGCCCTGCCTTAAACGGATTTAATCCAGCAGCATGTTTTCACATCTGGCTCCAAAGTCCATGCCACATCCCGCTCCCTTGCACCCCAGCCCCTTTCCAATGCTAGCACCAACAGGACTGTGCGGCCCATCAGGTCAGGCACTCATGCAGCAAAGAACCCTATTTTGGCTATTTTAGGCATCAAGGGGATCCTTCAGGAGGCAAGGGTGGCACAGGAGAGCAGAGGCGACCCCATCCCTGAGCTCTTTGCCCTTCAGTCAGCCTCAGCAGACCTTAGATGGCTTCAGAAAGGCCTCTGTACCTTAAGCTTTGCTCCCTCCCTTCTCACACCATGGGATGGCCTTCGGACTTGGACTTTCACTAAATTCACTATGGCAGAAATTGCTGGAAATACTGAGCCTGCTCATGTGAGCCCCCCTCTATCCACCAGCTCTGGAGAAAGCGAGCAAGAGAGTGCATTAAGCAAAGTGCTCACAGTTTGGTGGGATGAACCCAAGCCCAGCAAATTCAAGGACTTTTCCCCAGTACTGCACTGGAAATCAGAACTTTGAACTGAACGCATCCAGTGTCATAGCGGTATGATCTGCCCCTTGTTTTTGCCTTAACTTTAGAAACTTTTACGGGAGGGACTGTTGACGTCTTTTTCCTGTCTAATCATCTTCAGCATGACTCTGCCTGTTTAAAATGCAGTTCCTTCCGCTCTTTTGCTGCATCTGTGATTTAGAAAGATGACGCTTCTAGTGAGTAAGAAAATCCATGGTACATTTGAGCCATGTTCATCTGAGCCATGCAACCTCAAAGCTCAGCTAAATTCGCTGTAACCTCCCTCCTGATTTCTAGGCCAAGCTGGGGCATCCAAGCAGCTTATTTTTCCCCTTGTGAGAGCACCCATCCACATCCACAGGTAGCAGGCAACAACCACACCTTCACAGGTATGATGAGGGAGAGGAAAAAAAATAACATGCAACTGATTTCCCAACCATGAGGATGTAAACCAAGACAAAATCCCCTGAAATCAATGCCATGGCTTCATATACATAGGAGAAGATCCCAAGCCATATTATTTTCCAAAAAATAAGCTGTTAATTTATGTCATGGTAGCTTGTGTAGTTTTATACTGTCTTACTGAATCAACTCTTTGGCTTTGGGCTGGTTGACTGAAGTCAACCTTTGGGAAGTATCATTAGTTTTAAAGAAATAAAGGAGGACAAAAATGAGAGGGAGCATGCTTTCTGCCTTTTGCAGAATGCTGTGTGTGATTAAAGCACTTTCAGGCCTACCTCCTCGCTTCATCCTTTACGTCATTGGTCTACTACTAGTGATGGTTGACACCACTTGAGTCTGTCAGGATGCTGACACCAAAAGCTTGTTAGGATACCTCTGGCAACTTTTAGAAGAGTCAGCAGTGGTGGAAGGGACAGAGAAAATGACAGGACGAGCAAGAATCTCTCTCATTCATTCACCCCTCAGTCATCTTGATCTCACTGGCAGGCTGCAGCTTCCCCCAGGAGACTTCACCTCCAGTGGAAGCAGCATTGTGGTGCACCCTGGGGGCCTCTCTGCCACCCGCAAGGCTCTTGGCTCCAGAAAAACCTCTCCTGCTCTACCAGCACCCCCCAGGCTTCACTGAGCATGGGGTAAAACACCACCAGCCGCAGGAGAAGAGGAGGAGCATGGCCCACCTCACATCTCACTGCCCTTGCCTTGGCCTCCCTGCTGTTAGAGCAGGGATGCCATAAGGGCAGCAGCAGGGTGGGGAGGGCGGAGATGTGACAAGGCTGGGGAACTCCAAGCAGAAAGCATGACTTGCATCCCGGCTACCACAGCGGCATCAGACTCACAGCAGCGGGTGCTGAGAACCATCGATGCTCCTGGCACCTGGACCAGCCCTATAGATACAGGCAACTACGTCAGGCTTTGTGGGTCCGCCCTAGCAGATTCTTGCAAAACCAGACTTTTTTACCTGAGCACTTAATTACTTTTTCAGCCGTTTTTTTGCTGACTTGGTTCTGAACAACACATCTGAACATCCCAGAATGTTGCGTGTTCAACTCCAACCTTGTTGCATTCTTTTGGATTTTTTTTCTTTTCTCTTGACTCAGTTCTATTAGAAAGGTTTCGTCTCTAGTCTTCTGCTTCACTTCACACTTGACAGCTACAGTTTTGTTCACGCATTCAGCACTGAGGATCGGCTGAGGGACGGGCTCTGAAAAAGAAGAGAAGGGACAGGCACGTCTGAGATGGTTTCTCCTTTTGAAAACCTCCATGATAAGCAGAACAGAGAATTAGTCCCCAATAAGCAGTAAGGGAGTAACACCAGCTATTGAGACCAGAGAAGGACAAAGAGCAAATTAGACTTCTAGTGCAGAAGTAACATGGCAGTAACAAAGAAAATGCAGTATATTAGCCTACATGCTTGGCCTGGCAAAGCAGAGCTGCACCAGCATCGTATATTAGCCTACATGCTTGGCCTGGCAAAGTGGAGCTGCACCAGCATTGTTGGACTACTTTCAAGCTCAGCCTGGCTCACAGCCAGGCGAGGGGAGGAAGCTGTGTTTTCAGGGGAGGTGGCGGATGGGAGGGACTCAGAACCACAGCTCGCTCCAACTCCCGCCTCAATGTTTTGGTACAAATGAAATCGGCTCTGATCTGCCTCTGGCCATCAGGAGAGGTTTCCTCTAAGACAGGGCAAACAGCTACTCACGTATGTACGACCACCGGCACTCGACTAGCACAACAGCCACAGCATGAAAACCCATCAAAACAATAGAAAACACAAAACAGACATGTCTTAGAGCTAAACACGGTTATGACAGAGAGAACTGGTTTCTTTCTCTTTTTATGTCCTGCAAACAGCTAGCGACATTTCGGTTCCAGATTCTCTGTCACTGGTGGCACTGAAAGAGCCAGAAAAGCCCGTGGGGCTTTCCTCAGCTAGGGGCAACTGGCAGGGACATCAGATGGAAAAAAAATAATTTCTACCTTTTAGACCAGGTAAAAAAACCACATGCCAGGGCCACCTCTACTTATAGGCAGTGCAAGTTCTAGAGAGCATAAATTTTAAAGCCATTAAGGGTTGCTTGTAGGAAATGCAGTCTAGGTTCGTGCTGTGACATCCGCAGCCACCCGTTCCTTGTTAAGTCGACTTCTTCTGCAAGCTGTAACCATTCAGGGGAACATCCCAGTGTGAAACACTGGAGTCCAGCTCCTGGTGATGGAGTTGTGTGATGGTATCTTCTAAACTATTATTTTTTTTAAAAAACTGTTTGTCCAGCCCTATATATCTGGCTGACAAATGTCTCTAGACAGTCACTAAAGGACTTACTTCGAAAACCGCTGTCAGAGGTAAGGCAACCTCTCTGCTGCACAGTAGATGAAATGATGCAGGACATAGCTAGGTTGGAACCTTAACCTGAAACTGAACCCAGGACACTCCAATGACAGCTCAGTGGCTTAAAGCATGAGTAAGTAGCATCAGGCCCCGATGACTTCCTAAATCTGTAGACAGCTTGCAATAATAATTCCCAAAGTAGTGAGACACCCTCACTGCTCAGCAGTCTGTTAGCCACAGGGCCTCTCACTGCCCAGAAACCCTGCTAAAACCATTCCAGCTGTTGTTGCTGCCTTATCAAGGCATCATTTCTGCAATGCCAGCTGGTGCCTGCTGACTCAAGAGGTTTGAGTTCATGCTGGCTAAAGAAGGATAGAGCAAAATCACCCTCTCACTAGAAAAAAAAAACATGCTGCCCTACAGCTTAGAGATCTAGAGAGGTGGCAGCAGCCATAAAGGAGCAGAATAGCTATCCTCATCTTCCCTACTCATCCCAAAAGCTTTGTGCTGCTACTGCTCTAATCTCTCAGGACAAGATACAGCACAGGAATGGAGGCTGTCTTCATGCTTCGAGCCCAGGCAGCTGAAATCCCCAGGTGTGTTCTTAAGTGGGCTTTGAACAGCACAACCTTCGTATTTGTCGTGTTATACTATGTAAGAATAGGGTGCAGTAGTCCTTCTCCCCTGTGAATTCAACTCCTGCTGTGGTGTATCTCAGGGGAGATGTCTGCCAGCTAGTTTTCATGGTAGAGCAAAAATGGAATGGGATCGTGTTGCCTAAATACAGTCCTTTAAGTGCCACCTGGGCTCCTGAGCTCTCCTCAGGAGGCTGGCAGATACAACACAAGGTGTTCACCTTGCCGGGACAATAGCTAGAGACCAAAAGTCATAACTTAGTGCCTATCAAATAGCACCAGAAGTGCCTGCAGCACTCAGGGCATCAGCCACAGGCGTACGTCACATAGGTTGCTGCATCCCCATGAGGTGTTTCTGGAAGCAGGGTGCCACTGGGAGCACAGCCCCGCTCATGCAGTGCTGCCCCGACCCAGGGCTCACCCTGCTGCCAACACAGACATGCTCACGGCTGCTTGCTTGGGCACGTGTAGAAACCTGATGGCTGACAAAGAGGGGAGTCAGAAAGAAGCAGGGGGCTAGAGGGCATCAATGGGAGCAAGAGAATGGAGAAGAGCAGCAGACTGCTGTCAGCGGCAGAAGGAAAGAGATGTGTCTCACAGAAGTCCCCTCGAAACAGAGAGGGAGGCAATGAGTAGAAAATGTTGCAGGAGAGCACGGGAATACCAAGTCTTATTCAGCTATGCTGGCAATGGTATGGGAAGAGCAAAAACTCACCCTGAACAATGAGCATTGTGTCTTCTACTGCCTTCAATTTTCCATCCTGCTGATAAACCATCACTGTGTATTTTCCGCTGTCCTCTTTCATCACCTTCTCTATTTGCAGAGTCCCATTTATGAGTATCTTACACCTGCACTGGCCTTTGTTCACATAGTACTTAACTTTCTTATCTGTTATCTGAAGCAACCTTTGTCTGTCTCTCAGCCATGTTGCATCATACACAGTTCCAGCAGCAGCGATGTTGAGAAGAGCCGACTCATTCACAGCCATATAAATCCAGTTGCTGATGGAGCCTGTAAAGGGAAGCATGACCAGCCCATCAGCGTGTCTCCAGCAGCCCCTGCTGCCGCACTCAGCAGCCCCAGCCGTGACCCAAAAGGTTGTCACTTGCTACCCCCGCTCAGTCGCCTAAGCCTCTCTGCTGTCTTCTTCCCCCGCTCCAAAGCGTCTCTTGATCATTCACTAGATAAATGTCAGTCCTCGAATTAATTCTGAGAGGCAAGGAAGCTGAGAGTCCTGCTTTCAAAAGCTGGCTTTATGCTCTGGCTGACTTATTTGGAGTGATTTTGGATGCAAAGATTCATGACTGCCCGTGAACTTAACTTGGAACTTCACCCTTCCTGAAAATAAGGTCACTTTGGTGTGTTTTGCACATGGCACAGGCTGGTGCCCAGAGCGACCGTCACTGCAAACATTACTGCGGACAGTAGGAACAGCAATTAGTAGTGGCCCTGGAGAGTAGGATCAGTTCAACAACAGTAACGGCAACAATAATAATAATAATAATGGCCCGTATCAAGCAGTGAGAGAAAGGCACTGAACTGGAGGCAGACCCAGTGCTGCCAGCTTGCAGTGCCCCCTCCTCACCCATCCTGGGCACCCTGCCCCGCTGGAATGTACCCACTTGATTTTTCTAGCACAGGGTCATGGTGGGGCAAGTAAGGTGGGAAGAAACAAACAGCTAACCCCATCCTGTGAACCCATTGGGTACCGGAGACATCAGGAGATAAGCAAAGGCCAAAAAATAAAAAATCTTTTCTCTTTGCAGGTCTCCTTTGATGACAGATCCCCTCTCCAGAACAGGTAAGAGTAGGTGCTTCTCAAAGGTGCCACCAGGACTGGGCAGCATTTGGCATGTGGCTGCTGAAGAGGATATTCAGGAGAGCCAAGGCTGCTAAACATCCATCTCTTCACTACCAGTGGAGACGATGGACTCTTTGGGCTGTGCTGGGGTGCCTTGCCCTGCGAGCAGCCTTTGCGAGGCCCGTCTCCAGCGAACCAGGACTTTCTGAGCGCAGTTTGCTGGGAGGTCTCTTCACGGTACAGTCTCCACCCCACAGGGGTGGGTGGAAAACCTCCATGAGGAGGTAGAAAAGTGCTCACAGATGTCAGGTGGGACAAGCTCACTGATCGCGCGGCTTATTCCATTTGTCATTTTCTTCATGTTCGTCCCTCTTCAGTTTACAGGATAAAGCTGATCAGCAGGAGGGGATTTCTCTTCACATCACCAGACAGAGCTGATTCTGCTCTAATTTAATATATTTGAAGCACTTTTTCCCCACAGAGAGAAAAACTATGTTTATGCGTATTTTTATTATAGTCCTTCATTCCTGGTATCTGGGACAACGATAAACTGTATCACAGAGGGGAAACTGAAATCCAGTTGCTATTTTGTGAAACTAACAATATTAGAGACAATCAAAGAATTGAAACAGTCTGCCTCTGCAAGAAGAAAATTAATACTGACGTGCCTCTGGCAATTCACCCCCAGTCTAAGGAAAGGCTGTTATTTATTGCATTTCTTACAAGGCATTTGACGTACCTAATGAAATATTCTGAAATCAAGCTATCAGTCAAACAGTCTTGGAAGCAGCTATCCTCCACATAGATGACACTACAGATTATATGCAAATATTTGAATTCTGATACTTGTTTCTTCTCAGTCACGCACAGGTATTTAGAGCTAGTAACAGGATTTCTTTGCATAGCAGATACTGTTGTTTATTTTTTCTCTCTGGAAGTGAAAAAAAAAAATCTAAGTTTTCAGGACTAATTCAATGGCATCTCTATGGACAGAAGACCTAGACACATCTCCAAATGTTTATCTGATCTCCATAGTCTTGCTAATGGAAAGCTGAGGATCTCACACATATCATGCTAAAAACCTGTTTAGCAAATGAAATGGCGTTTCCACTAATACCAACTGAAACGCTCTCGAAGGGGCAGAAAGATCTGATCTGGCAGCATAGAGCTCGCTTGCAGTCAAACAAAACAGTTAAAAGGAAAAGCCCCAAAATAAATTTAGAAAAGAAAGAAAGCTTTCAACACAAGTTTTCCATTCAAGGGAATAATCTTCATTTCTGCTAGGGAAGATGTTTTATGTATCACATTAAAAAAAACCCTCCACAAACAAACGTCCTTATTTATCTATTAATTTTGTTCTGGAAAGGAAGAAAAGAAAAGCATTAAACAGCCATACATACAATCTATCATGGAATGAACAGAGAAAAAAAAAAAAACTATGTATGATTGTATTGTCTCCATCTCTTATAACCTTCTCTAATCTATGAGTTAACACCTTAATTAAGTTTTTAGATTAATATTTTAAAAAATAATGAGAGCAATAATATGCAAAACCTAAAAGATGTATGTATTTACTTGCTGTTTTCACATCCTAGACTTCTTCAACTCCACTGAAGACACTGAGATATATCACTTTCTGTTAATATTTATGGAAGAATATAATTTGTACTTTCAAAAGATTTGCTCATCTTCGATAAGAAAAGGAAATTACATGCCATAATGCACCGTGAACTGGATCTCTAATGTAGTACAAGCTACCTCGAGGGCAGAAAGAAAACTGCATGCTGACATTTCTTATTATACATATGTCAAATTAAGGCTCATTAACTTAAAATCAAAACTGTTTACAGCTTATTATTATAACTGGAATAGGAAACTCAGATCCTGCCCTCCCCCGTCTGAAAATTAAATCAAATAATAACAGCTATAACCCAAAGGTCTTCATTCCCTGAGAAAATGGAACTAGTTTCTTATCAGGAACATTCCACCAACTGGTAAATGGTTTAAAATGCAGTTTTAACAACACTAGCCTGAAAAAGCAAAAAAACAGTAAGAAAAAACTCACTTTTTACACTGGGAAATAAAAGCAGCAAGCACTTCACTAGGAAAATCCTTCTAAAGTTCATTTTCAGGGTCAAAAGACCCAGTGTCGCCTTGTCCAATGATAGCTCCTAGCAGATGAAGAGATTTTCTGCTGTGAGCAAGTGATCGTGGACGTGTTAGTGCAGCCTTCGTGCCCTCCTCTGCTCCTCCCCGCTCTCACACTACCACTTCTTGTTTCTAGCACAGGCACAAAAACCACGGGCAAGAAATACCTCTGTGACGGAGTGTTTTATTAGGATGGGGACAATGTGCAGTG